GCTTCGAGGCTCCCACGGCAGCTGTTCTTCTTCCTTGTCGCCATTTCTGCCGTAAGTTCCACCTCTCTCTCTCTATTCGAAATCGTCTTTCTCTTCGTAGGTCTCTCCCTCTCTTGTAACACTAGCTCACTGTGACGAGTTCGTAGATGCTCTTTCTCTTCGTTAGATCGTCATAGTTCTCTCTCCTTCTCTTCTAGATCTTTCTCCTCGTTCGAATGTCTTAGTTCTCTCTTCTAGATCGTCCTCTTCGTCAGATCGTCTTCGCTCTCTCTCCCTCTTCTAGATCGTTCGTTCCACCGTCTTAGTTCTCACTCTCTTCTAGATCTTCCCAGATCATCCTCTTCGCTCTCTCTCTCTCTCTCTCTCTCTCTCTCAAATCTTCTTGGAGAAACTCTAGATCGTCTTACACTCTTTCGTTTTTTCTTGCAGTGTGCAAGCCTTGCGCAGTTGCGTGCTCCGAGTGCCCGTTGTGCAGAAGTAGCATCACTGACAGGATAATCACATACACATCGTAAAGAAACAAAGAAAGATAAAGCACAAATCAAGTGTTTAACTTAAGCTTATTTGTCGTACGCTGCTTTGATTTTGTACGATGGGCCCAAATTTGGGCCATGGTCCGTTTTGTATTGCCATGCCCTAAATTTTCTTCTCACCACTCTTCTCTCGACCCAGTAGTGTGAGGAGAGAGAGGGATTGAGAAGAGATTTGGCGAGGACGATCCCGGTCTATGTTGCGAGGCAGGCGCGCGCTATCCACGCTCGTGCGCTCGCTTTGGCGTGTCAACGGCGGCTCCGCGCTGCGCTTCGCGGTAAGATTCCTCTCAGATCTCTCCAGATCGGCCTCCGCCGCGTCGCCATTGGCCGCATTCTTGCTGGGATCGCAATGCGCTCACCTCATTCTCGTATTTCTCACGCCAAATTTCGGTTTTCTTGGCTTCCCAGGCGATTTGTGAGTGGAGCTCTCCTGCCTCGATTCCTTCGCTTCTGGTATGTGACGATCCAGCCTTTCTTTCTCTTGTCTTTTTCTTTTATCTTCTTGTGGATCTATTGATCGAAATCGGTAAAAACGCAACGCTGTTTCTTATGCTGGCAGGTTTTCTGATAGATTGAATGTCAATAGGTGAATACTAGGAAGCATTACTTCTCTTTTGGAGCTCGATTCATGGCTCTCACAGCCGAGGTGGCCACTCCAGCTCCACCTACTCTGGTACTTTACTCCTTTTTGGATTGATCTCTTTTCTAGTTCTAGTTTTCTAGTTTGATTTCTTTCTTGATCGTTTCCAGGCGACAGAAGATGGTACCAAGCAGCTTATCGATCCAAAGGTGATTTTTGTTCTTGGTGAGTTGAGATCCACGCATCTCAAAAGTATGTTCTAAAGCTTGCGGTGGTGGCAACACTTAGGTGGACCTGGAAGTGGAAAAGGGACGCAGTGCGCTAAGATCGTTGAAAAGTTTGGGTTTGTGCATTTGAGTGCTGGCGATTTGTTGCGTGCTGAGATCAATTCTGGGTCCGCAAACGGGTAACTTATTATTCTTTTTCTTTTTCTCTTCTCATAGTGCTTACGTGAAAACGTGGCGGAGCAGGACCATGATCCAAAACATGATCCAGGAAGGAAAGATTGTACCGTCAGAGGTGACGGTGAAGCTCCTGCAAAAGGCCATGGCAGAGAGCGGCAAAGACAAGTTCCTCATCGACGGATTTCCTCGAAACCAGGAGAACCGCGCTGCGTTTGAAGCAGTGGTAAAGTTTCAATCACCACAGCTAACTTCTCTCGCCAACGTTTTGTTTGCGTAGACTGGAATCGAGCCAGAGTTTATTCTCTTCTTCGACTGCCCGCAAGAAGAGATGGAGGTGAGACTCCTCGGTCGTAACCAGGTACGCATTTTCGTCTCTGCCAGAGTTTTGCAAAACAGAGTCCAACACTTGAAGAAAACTCAGGGACGCTCTGATGACAACATTGAAACCATCCGGAAGCGATTCAAGGTCTTTGTCGAATCCAGCCTTCCAGTTGTGGATCATTATGACAAGAAAGGCAAAGTTCGCAAGGTCTGGTTTTCTTTTCTTCCAGCTTTCCAGCTTTCCAGCTCATGTTGTGTTGGAATCTCCTTGTCTAACAGGTAAATGCCGTCAAGACGAAAGAAGAAGTGTTTGAGAGCATCGAGACTTTGTTCCAAAAGTTCCAACACCGCTCGGTCATGCAGCACGTAAATGCTGCGTGATCCGATTGATTGATGGAGAGATCTCGCTACTGGTAATGGCTGCTCACTTCATCCCCCCCGTAAAATTCATCCCAGCATTTTTTTCATCCATCCGACTCTCAAGTTTAGATCGAAACAAAGAAGAAATAAAAATACAGAGAAAGAAGCGTACGTACACCTTTTGCTTGGCGTGAATGCCGAATGAAAATAAACTCCACATTGCAGCTTTTCTCACGCCTTGTTCTTTGAGCCTCTCTTTTGACGATTCTTATTTTGTGTTGCCAAACTCCAAAGAAACCTCTCGTTTTAGCTTGCTTGGTCAAAAAACAGTGCTCAGGAGTAAGCTCCTAGCGTAAAATTTGTACATTGCGCATGATCACGTGTTACCTGGAAAGTTTAACGAGTGAGAAGGCTGAAAAAATAGACTTTGTTCTACTTCTTACCATGTTGAGGTTGATCAACATGAACAAAGAAGCTGGCAGCCACAATCAGGTAGCAAAACAAAAGCATCAATCCTTTGAAATAGTTGGATGTTCCCTCCTGGAATTAATTAAAGTGTTTATACTTGCAGCACGAAGTTGGAAAAAGAATCAAACCTGTAGCATGAATGCGACGACTAGCACGGTGATGAACAAGGTAGCAGTCTCAAAAAGCTGGAAGTCCAAGTCCATGGGCTTTCCCATTATCCAGCCCATTACTACGCAAAAGGGAATCTGGAGCAGCCAGCAAAGTCAGTCAAATAACGCCAAAGATGGTTCCACAAAACTGTGCTATTTTACCACAAACATTGATATTTGCGTGGATGAGCCAATCGCTACCCCCAACGAAATATCCTGCACGATTAGCATATGTGACGACGAAAGCCCAGAGAAAGTAGCACTTGTTTTTACGCACCAGCTTGTCTTTTAGAGCAAACATTATAGCGCTCGCATGCTCTGCCGCATTTCCAACAATTGGCAAGATGATCACGCTGATAAAAGCCACAGGGATGTTCCAACTGTCGGCGGCACCCTGTGCAGCCAAGCGAGAAGTGAGAACGAATCAAAGAGATAATCAAAATCACCTGGATTGCGTCAACGAGATACTCCGACAAAACAGAGATAAAAACGGTCAAAATGGCGAGCCAGCCATTTGCTTCCCAAAAGCCCATCACGGACTCCTCCGCCTCGGATTCATTATCTCCCGTTTCCTGCAAGGTATCATATAAGTCAGATCAAAGTAAGAAAACTAGAACTTACTTGTTCGTTCTCATAAAGCTTTCTGTGGCTTTTTAATTGGAAGAAAAGGTACGATGCGTAAGCCATGAGCATGATGCAGCTAGTGAACCTGGAAAGGCTCAGCTCAGATTTACCATCATGAAGCTCTGTGTGCGTGGAGTGAAGAACGGCAGGGAAAAGCAGTCCCAAAACAGCCATGAGAAGCAATCCGGAACTCACCACCGCAGAAGCCTGTCAACAACGACAAATCACAAGCTTTACGTACAAAGAAAAAAAGAAAACGTAAACGTCACCTTGTTGAATCTCTGATCCTTGTGAGGAAAAGCGAGACCACCCATGAAGAAGGCGCATCCGAGAACAAGTAACATATTCGAGAGGATAGATCCCAGCAGCGACAGCTGAACCACGCGGATCATGCCATTCCGCAGAGCGAAGATAGAGATAATCATCTCGGTGGCATTTCCAAACGTCGCATTCAGAAGGCCACCGACTGCAAGAGAAACAAAAAAGACCATTCACTCTCTTTGTGATCGAGAAAAGGGTATAATTTATTACCCGTGGAGCTGGTGTGAAATGCCAGTTGCTCCGTGACAAAGCCCAAGCGCTCGGCAAGTGGTGCGATGCCGAGTAAGCTGATCAAGAACACCCAACCCTTCACAAGAAACAATAACATAAGCGAACGAAGAAGTTGCCAAAAAAAAAACAAAAAAAAAAGAAAAGAAAAGAAAAGAGAAAGGAGTAACGTACCATTCCAGACTTCAAGTTTGCTAGAACGATCGATATCGGCACCAAAGGCAGGAGGCAGCAAAGCTTGCTTCCCAGCAAAACTTCCTTCGCGCCCCTTGCAAAATGCTTGTACCACGGCCGTCGCCTCTGTGCGTAAGTCAAGTCCAGCTCACAGTGCTCGGAGACCTCGGAAATCAATCGCTTCTTTTCAATCTTCTCGGTCCCAAGCTGAAAGGAAAAAATAAAACACACACACACAGGGAGATCAAACAATCTCTAGGAAAAAGAAAAAGATAGCAAGCTACGCACCTCCTCATCGAGCGAGATTGTTCTCATTTCCATCTCACCGTTTGCTTCGTTCATCGCTTTCGCGTAATGCGGCCTGAGCGTTAGACAAACAATAGATAAGAAAAGGCAAAGAACAAATAAAACCAATGAGAAGCGAACAACAATATTTTGTTGTCAACACGAGCTCACCGGAATCCATTCACAATCTGCGGCTCGCCGAGGCGATCGTCGCGATTTCCAGAATCCATGGACCCGCCAAGCGATCAAAACACCGCGATCGCCAAAACTCCAACCCCTAAATCCAAATCCGCGTCCTAGAATCCATGATCCGCGCCCAAATACCTCCAATCCGCATTAAATTCGTGCTGCTGCTATCAGGGATGCGTCGCTTCCGGTCACCGATTCGGCCGCCCTAAGAGTGATCGTGCGCCTCGCGATTTCCTGGAAGCTCGAGGAGGAGCTCGAGAGCTCGTAAAAGGGTTTCCACAAGCCGCTGGATCCGCCCTATCCAACGGCCAGCGATTTGTCCTGAATTTTATCCAATGTCTAGACCCTTTGCTAATGTCATGCAAGCTTGAAACTATATCAACCTTTGATCAAAGTATGGGACAAAGAGGAGTTTTTACATTTTAAGAAGATTTTAGTCCTATGTCTGTCAATAAGAGTGAGTTCGATCATCCATCGCCTTCTCGAGGGGATGTCGCAGCACTCCTCGAGCTTTTTCCTTTGAAGTTCTTGCGAAGTTCTTGCTATGACGCAGCACCATTGTCTTCCTCGGCGGTAGCGGCAGTGGAGGATGGAGCTGGAGCGTTTTTCGTGTGCTTCTCGACGTATTCCTGGATTGACAAACCATGGCTGAGGATAATCGATCGGGAGAGTGAGGAAAAAAGAGTTGTTTTTCATACCTGGACGAGCTTGACGATCTTGTCCTTGGACGAAGCCATGAATCGATCCACTCGCTCGGTGCCTTTGGGGATCTGCGAGCCTTGCAAGTTCCCCACCACTTTGTTCACGGCCTTTTGCGCGATCACCTTGAAGTCGTCCTTGCTGAGAACTCCATCCCTCCACTTTGGATTGAGCAGCTCCTTGACGAACTCCGCGACTGTGTTCCTCACCACCTTGAGAGCTCGCCCATCCTTCTCGCTCCTCTCCTTTTGCAAGCGCTCTCCATCCTCGTCACCGTCTTCCTCCTTGTGGTGATCCTTCTCCTTGTGATCCTTCTCCTTGCTGGTTGCGGCAGCCTCGGAAGACCTCTTGGAGCCCGCCTCGGCAACTTCGAGCTTGGAATTCACAACCTCCGGCTCTTCGTCTGCCGCCACAGCCACCGCCGCTGCTGCTTTTGGAGAAGAGCCGCCCTCCACTTCCATCTCCACGTCGTTCGACGACGAAGTTGGCTGTAGCGGATCATACTTTTCAGCTGAAACACCCGGTTGCTGCCGGAGAAAAATCGCTGGAACTGGAGCCGAGGGTGGCGGAGGCGGAGCGTTGGGAGGAGGAGGCTGCCCACCAACAAGTCCCACAAAGTGCTGCGGAGGAGGAGCGTGGACTTCGAGCGGCAAAACTTCGCCACCAGAGGACCAAGGGGGCGGCGGCAGCGGTGGTGGTTGCGGTCCCAGCGGCCCGTTGCTCAGCTGGCTTTGGATGTGAGACAATTGCAACTGCTGGAGTAAAAATTGCTGCTGTTGAGCTGGTATTTCAGACAAAGCGGGTGCAAATGCCGCACCAACTTGGGGGTAACTGCCAGGAACTCTCGGCAGTCCTGGATCCTGAGAGATGCTTGCAAAATGGTGCTGCTGCTGCTGCGGTGGAAGCGGTGGACCTTGCTGCGAGTCGTGCATCAGAGGAGCAGTGATATATCTAGCAAAAGTGGTGTTGTCCGCTGCCACTGCAAATCCCGGTGGATGCTCCAAGTTTGCTGGCGGCTGAGGCGGCGGAGCTAGAATGTGACCAACGTGCTGGCTTGCGAACGGTAACGCTTCCAAAGGCAACGGCTCTGGCTGCTGCTGCAAACTCTGGCCCGGCTGGTGATGGTGGTGAGTGAGTTTGTTGTTCTTGTTGTTGTTGTTACTGTCATCTTTTCTCTCGTCAGCGTCGCGTTTAGATTGGAATCGCTCCCTCCGTCTTGGCGAGCGGCTGGACCAAAGAAAATAAAGAAAACTTTGCTAGATCAGACTTTGGTGAGGCAACAAAGCACGAAAGAAGAACAAGCACTGTTTTATAAAACGAAGAGGAGAACGAAGGGAGAAAAGCTACCGGAGCTGACCTGTGAGATCTTCCACGGCGTCGGGGTGAATGGTTTCTGTGTGATGGACTTCGTGGCCGGTGTCTATCTCTTTCGGGAGACCTGCTTCTACTTCGTCTTCTTCTTCGGTTGCCTGGACTGGGAAATTCCTCCTTGGCTTCTTTCTCGTCCCTCCGTCCAGCTCCACCGCGAGCACGGTCCGTTTTCACGTTTCGCCTGGGGTCAGTAGGAGCATCCATAACTGGCTTCGCCATCTGAGGCTTCGGAGCCATCTTATCCTTCTCAGACGGCTCGGCGAAAGATGGCCGTCTCTCTCCCGGAAGTGGCACGCCAACTTCTAGTGCAATCTTTTGCCAGTCAAGCTTACCATTTTCTGGTAAGCCAATGATTGCCTCGAGACGAAAATCTGTGCCAAAAAAGGGAACCACGTACAATGAGATTATAGCAACAGAAACCATAGGAATTGGAAACCACGTACAACAAAATTCCAGCAAAACAATAGCACATACCATGAGAGAACCATTCTAGGAATTAGCGGAATCCACGTACAATGAGATTCCAGCAAAACAATCAAACTTACCATGAGAAAACCATTCTAGGAATAAGCAGACAGGAAAGAAAAAACACATTCACATTGCTGAATGCACTGTGCAAGGAGGCATTCGTTGTAACTACCAAGAATCTAAGCTAAATGTAAAACTTTGACATTTGAGTACCTCTTAGAGTTTGCACGCCTTGCAAACACTGCTCCAGCTCCCGCTGCATCGATCTAAGACGATCTGGAGGTATCTTCCCCTCGGACACCGCTTTCCTGGCCTCCAAGACTTTGAGCATCACTTCCTTTTGCCACTCGTAGTAGTGACGCCCAATACTCGCCTCGCTCCCTGGCTCTCCGCCATACAAGAACGAGAACTCTGATTTTCCCTGCTGCTTTGCTCGCACCAGCGACTCATTCTCCACACCGAACTTGGCCACAAACGCCGCGAAGAGTTTGATGTGATGCAGCATTTTCGGGTCCCTTGGAACCGGAGGAGGGATCGCGAAGAAATGGAGACTGTCTTCTCTTCTCGTAACGAGCCTGGGATCTGTGAGCGGTGGCCTTGGCGGTGCTAGCGGCGGCCCGCCCTGCAAGGAATTCCCAAAATCCGGTAGCATTTCAAACGGACTCTTCATCCCTGGGGGCGGCCCCAGGAGCCCTGCGCCGGAATGGGGATGGCTGCTAGCATCCAGCAGCGACACTGGAACTGGCCCTCCCGGGAACAAGATCCTGTGGACTTGCTCCCACGACGCGTTTCCCTTGTCCATTCCCCCGAAATCTCTCCCAAAATCCAGATTTCCTCCTCACGCTCTCATTGCAGCTCCTGGCGCCGCTACCCTTTCTTACCTCCCGATCGCCGCCAGCGCCCCCATTGCGCCATCGCCGCGGCCTCCTCCATCCCTGGGAGAGTTCCCAAAAACCCTAAAGAGCCCTAGAAAATAGGCACCGTGAATCACGGCCGTTTGATCGCAAAGATGCTAGTTAGGGTTTATGGAATGTAGCATGGCGCTGAGCGCTGTGATCCCCGCCAGGCGCTTCTTCCTCCCCAGGGCTCTCAGGTACGAGGCAATCCCCAAGAAATCGTGCTGCGCGTGCGCGGCATCGATCCAGCAGTACAATGCGGGCGCCAGCGATGACAATGGCAGCAATCCGCAACGCTACTCGATGTTCTCGGACAGAGCACGGGATCTAGGACCGCAGCAGGGGCAGGAATTCCATCCGGATGATGGATTTCGATCGGCGGGCTCGCGCTCCGTCGCGTCACGGCCCTCCATTCCAGGGAGATATTCCAAGTACTCCAAGAACGAGCCCTTCCGGAAGATATCCAGTCCTACAAAGCGGCCTCCTCGGCCAATCTTACCGCCGGCTTCCAGAGGCTACTCCAGTTCTTCGCAACCGAGTGAGAGCTCTTCGCAAGGATTGGACGCTTCCCCGTCTCCTCCTCCTGCTCCATCTCTCCAGTTTCCAGAAGGATCAAATCTTCCCAATTGGTCGAGGAAACACCTAGAACAGGCAAGCTCTGCTCGTCGAGTGAGGCCGCCACCTTTGCCACGAGAACATCTCGAGCTGCCAGTGCCAAAGTATCCAAACCGGCTCCAGCAAGGCTTTGCTACTCGGTGGATTCGCAGTGAGCCCGCGGAAGAGCGGCCGGTTTACGAGCTTCCTTTCGAGTTCCAGTACACATACTCGGAGATGCCAAAGGAAGAACCTATCGCCGAGCGAGGCCCGCAGTTCTCTCCTTTCGGTCCCGACACGATGCCGAGGCCGTGGACTGGAAGAAAGCCGCTGCCTCCCAGCAAGAAGAAGCGGCACGAGATCGACTCTTTCAATCCGCCGCCTCCGAATCTCAAAGGCGTGAAGCCGGTCGAGCCGGCGGGTCCGTTTCTGGAAGGACAGCGTCCAATCCTGGCGACCACTCGAGAGGAGGTGATGGGAGAGCCTCTCACTCCGGATGAGATTGGAGACCTTGTTCTAGCGTGCAACAAGGAGCATCGGCAAGTTAATATTGGTAAGTCTTTCTCTTTTTTCTCTTCGTTTCTTGTGTTTTTCTCGAGCTGACAGCGATCAATCAGCTCAGGCAGGGACGGGCTAACGCACAATATGCTGGATTTGATCCACTGCCACTGGAAACGCAGACGAGTTATCAAGCTCCGGTGCAAGGGAGTTCCAACCATCGACATGGACAATGTGTGCTTTCACATAGAGGTTAGCTTGAAGAATTTTTGTTCTCTTTCTCTTCTCTTGTATGATGGAGTCTGGTTTTTCAGGACAAGACTGGCGGTAAGATCATCCAGCGGCATGGTGGATCGATCTATTTGTTTCGAGGACGCAACTACAACCCAAGATACCGGCCTGAGATTCCTCTCATGATGTGGAAGCCTCCAGTGCCGATCTATCCGCGACTTATCCAGCAGGCTCCGGCGGGTTTGAGCGTGGAGCACGCCGACTACTTGCGACGACGGGGCCGACGAGTGAAACCACTCACTAAGCTATGTAAGTTTGTAGCACCTAGAACTCACAGACCACTCGACTAACTTGCTGTGCAGCTAGAAACGGTGTTTACTTGCATCTCGTGAACGAAGTTAAGTCCGCATTCGAAGTGGACGAGCTAGTGAAGCTCGACTGCCGAGGCATGAACATCGCCGATGTAAGAAAGATCGGAGCCAAGCTCAAGGTACGTACTCCTCCAACTTAGTTAGATTTTCATACAAACTTTCGTGTTTACAATCAATCACTCCAGGAGCTCTTGGGAATCGTCCTTCTATCTTTCGAAGACAACTGCGTCCTCATGTGGAGAGGCCCTGCAAAACTCACCGAGGGCGAGCAAGCCACGCAGGATTTCATCCGGCAGAGTGTTTTCGAGGGGAAGGAAAACAGCGACGCGTCGGAAGAACCCAACCAAGTGGATCCGGCCTTGCTGCAAGCTGCCAAGGAACTCGAGAACTTGTGGGAGCGAGCTATAAACTTCGGGATGGTGACCACTCTGGAGGACAACCAGTTGGATCCCGACACTGTTAAGTCACTTTGTGGAGCTCCGCCGCCGGTGAAACGCGTGCCCCGGCCCGAGGACGAAGACGACGAGCCGAAAGTGTTCGAGGTGGAGGACCGCAACAAGAGACGCGAGGAACTTCTACTCCAGAAGAGGCTGGCGGAGCCTTTGCCTCCTCCCGAGCCGTCTGTGGGAGTTTTACCGGTGGACGAACTGGCCAAGCTGTTAGCTTCTCCGAGATGATGGAATAGAGCAAGTAAGTATCTAGAGTACAAGGCGAGGAGTACCTTCTTCTCGAGCTATCCGGGCCTTCGCATTTTCGTGTTGAGAGGTGGCTCCTTGTACGAGGACACGGTCTCCACGGCTCTTCTCACGGGCCTCCCGGAAGTGCTCACGGCCCGCGCTCTCACAAAATTCTCGGTTTTGATCACTACCCCGGGAGAAGACGCTCGAGACGTGACGAACTCTGGCAGCTCCGGCTCCTCCTCCACTTTGATCGAAGCCGGGCAGTAGCTCTGGACTTTGGTGGAAACCACTCTGGTGGATCTGCGTTTTCTCGTCGGCTTGGCTTGCATGCTCGGCGGCGGTGGCAGTGGCGACTTGGACTTCTTTCGTTGAGGCTGGTTTTCTTTCTCAGTGAGCCGCCTGATTTGCTCGTTGGCTTCCTCGAGTTGGCTCTGAAGCAAGGCGAGTACGCTCGTTTCGCAAGATGGGCTATGAAAGAAGAGAAAAACGAGTGTTTGAGTACCTGGAGTTCGCTCTTGCTTATCCTATACACGCTACACATTTGTGTGTACTCGTGCTGTAAGAGTTTCATCTATCAAAACAATCAAAAGTTAGTCTCTGGGATCTCGAGCTTGTGTGACAAACAAACCTCTTGTCGTGCTTGCTCTAGCTCCTGTGTCAAGGAAACAGAAAAAGAAAATCTTAGAACACAAACTCATCGCATAGAACACAAAGGAACGAGAAAGAAAGAAATCCTCACCTTGTACTGCCGATAGTAGTGTTGTATAATTTCCTCGTTCTGGGCGGACTTTTGCTCCAAAGCTAGCTCGAGCTTCTCGATGTGAGCAGCCTGCGCTTCGACTTGGCTCTTTAATTTCGCCACGTCCTGCCAAGAACATCCCATGAATTTTTTTATTCCCTTTGAGCACACCCACACAGCCTACCTGTTGGAGCTCGACTTTGACAGGATTCTCTTCAACGAACTGTAAATTCGTGATATTCGCAAGCTTCCTCCTCTGCGCAGCCTGAGGAGTCGGAGGAGGCCGCTTCCCTGCCAGTCTTTCACTACCCATCACTCCCCAAACCCTGCCGCTGCTCGCATCGCTCGATCAATCGCCGGGCCCCCAAATCCTACTCTAAGATCTCCTCCCGCAACTTACAACCAGTAGCATTCCCGCGCCAGCGCCACAGATCCGCCGCAGCGCCACGCCATGCCCTCCAAGAACCCTAAAATCTCCTCTACCAACGGCTACAATTTTCGAAAAGATGCCAAAGGAATATACTCTTTTCAAACAAACTAATCGCCCTGTACAACAAGGAACCAAAAAAAAAAGCTCTTTAAGAGACTGTGGCCGCTGTTGCCTGTTCTTCGCGGATTTCTTCTTCGGCCGAATCATCGCCATCGTTTTCTTCGTCTTCTTCTTCTTCACTCTCAGCAATCTCATCGCTCTCGGACACGATTTCTTCGTCCTCCTCGTCCTTGGATTGCCTCGGCTTGGATTTCTCCGACTTGGAGGCCTGGATCTTGTTGGGTGCTAATGTCATGTACATTGTTCTCCCTTCGTCAGCTAGTTTGTTTTCCAGGGATCCCATCTGAGAGCACGAAACAGAAACTTTGTAGATGTGCTGGATATGAAACAAAAATGAAAGCTCCATACCTCTCCAATGTCTTCCTCGAATTTTCTTAGGAGCTTCACGCCCAAATCCTTGAATTGGGCTTCTCGGCCTCTGAAAGGCATGAACACTTTCACCTGTGCGGCAAGGCAAGCAAAACCATTCTAAGTCATCACGCCGCTGAGAAAAAACGTTACCTTGTCGCCATCTTTTAGGAAATTCTTCGCTTGCTTCAGTCGAACTTCGTAGTCGTGAGTATCGATGTTATATCTGTAGCACACGGGGGTGTAAGTAAGAGCTACAGCCATGGTTTTAGGAAGCGTGACATCTTACCTCATTTTCAATTCTTTGATCTCCACTCTGCTAGCTGCGGAGAGAAACAACAGAAAAACGGCGATGATCAACACGTACACCCAATGCTGTAAAAAAACGTAATACCAGCTGCTTTTTTCTGCTGGTCCCTTTTCTTCTTTTGCTGCTCGTACTTGTATTTGCTGCCATCAAATGAATCCACTGTAAATATTTGGCTGTGTTACTTTCGTCTCGACAGCAATGCCAGAAACATTCTCACCTGTAATCCATCAACTTGGCCACCGGTGGATCGGAGTCAGCTGAAATAAGAACCTACAGAAGAGAAAACATTGTCAGAATCTCCAAATAAGAAGGAAAGAAAGCTCACGAGATCAAGCTCTAATCGTTCAGCCCTTTGAAACGCATCCTCCCTTGGAACAATCCCAATCTAAACATGAAAAACCATGATAAAAAAAACAAATTGGACCTTCTAAAAAAATATTTATGGTACCTGCTGTGAGTCCTCTCCAATAAGACGAAGAATTGGAGCTCTGGAATGCAAGAAAGAGTTTTAGAAGAGGCTCACACCGGAGAAAAATTCTATCGAAAGCATTCGCTAGTGTTACCTGATGCGCTCATTCATCGTTGGGCCATCATCCTCACTCACAGTCTCCGCGCCCCTATTGCCCCTTCGTCCTCGACCACCTCTTCTCCCACCGCCACTCCTTCCTCCCCTTCTACCGCCTCCCATCCTCGAAACCACGCAAAATCTGCTGCTACTAGCGGTGCTGCTCGTGCTCCTTCCCCTAATCCCTGTGCTGCCTCTGAAAAATCTCGGCCACGCCATGCGCTCCTCCCCAAACCATTGCGAATCCTCGCGGAGGCACGATGGCATCGCCGAGCAGCACGCCGCGCTCGTCCCCGCCGTGAGCGCCATGGCCACGCCCAGCGCCTTGCTACTCGAAACCTAGAGAACAACTTAGTTGGAGGATAGAAGGCATTGAGGAAAATGTGACACGGCCATTTTCCCGTCCCTAGATTCGAAACCGCGACCACCGGCACTAAAGGTCTTCTCCAGCGATTCGAGCCTGCGACCTGCCAGAGACGATGAGGTCTCGCGCTCGATTCTCTTGACTGCCGACTTTCCCCGTCCAATGTCCCCATTTGTTCCACAGGCGCTCAAGAGCGTCCGCCATGCCACCTCGTTGGGCACGACGGGCATATTCTTTAGTAGCTCCTCGGCATCTCTAAGCTCGCCACCTCGACCCAAGAGATCAACCATGCACAAGTAATGGTCGATTACAGGTTCAATCCCATAGTCCCAGACCATCGAAGTGAAATGGGATATTCCATCTTTGACGAGTCCTTTGTGGCTGCAAGCACTCAAGACGCTGATAAAAGTGATGGAGTTTGGTCGAGAAGATCCCTCCAGAGCCATGAGGCGATAGAAATCTATAGTTTGGGTGTAATGCCCAGTCCGGGCAAATGCCGTGATCATGGCGTTCCATCCCACAATGTCCAGGGAAGGAATCACGTCTAGAATCGCCACGGCATCTTTCAGGCTACCGCATTTAGCGTACATGCTGAGGAGAGCATTGGATACTTCGAGATCGATTGATCCTCCTCGCGACACTAGAGCCGAGTGGATCAATCTCCCCTCAAAAATGGCGGAAGCACAAGTGCAAGCATCGATCATGCTGATCCACGCAACCTTGTCCACGCAAAAACCCTCAAGATCCATCAGCTTGAAAACTCTCATTGCTTTGTGCGGATGCCCATTTATGGCATTGGCTGTGATCAAGGCAGTCCAGCTTATTACGTCCTTGCTGGGAATTTTATTAAAGGATTGACTTGCAAGATCAACTTCACCACATTTTCCGTACATTGTGACCAAGGCATTTCCAACTTTGGTATTTGATCTGACATCACTAGAAACATCATCTATCACTGCTTGAGTTTCAAGGCATTGCTTCAAAGAACCGAGTTCTCCACAAGCCTCGCACAATGTTATGCAAGTTATACTGTCTGGGTGATGACCCTCCAAATCCATCAGGGGCAAACACACGAGAGCTTTCTCTGGATGTCCATTTCGGGCATACGCTGAGAGCAATGTAGTCCAGCTCACAACATCTTGCTTTGCCATCTTTTCAAACACAAAATTAACCTTGTCAAATTTTTCAAATCTGCTGTAGAGGTTCATGAGAGCATTACCAACTGCAACATCAGCAAGAAACCCATTATCTATAACCAACGATTCCAAACCTTGAGTTTTATTGTCCAGCTGAGAATCCCTCCAAGAAGCCCAAGCATCTATCACAACTATGAATGTGATCTCGTTTGGCTTAAACCCTTCTAATTGCATCGAATGAAACAAGCAAACCGCGTCACCACTATACCCTCCCTGGGCATATGCCCGTATCATGGCATTCCAAGAGACAACATTATGAAAGGGCATATTTTCAAACAAAAGCCTTGCCTCGTGAATATTCCTGTGCTGCGCATATGCTCCAAACATGGTATTCCATGACACGACGTCTCTCTCTGGCATAGAATCAAACACCTCCCTCGCAAGCTCTAGATGCCCGTTCTGGGTATATGCTCCCACAAGGATATTCCACGAGAAACGATTCTTCCGCTTGATGCGGTCGAAAACTCCCCGGGCATCGTCAACTCTCGTACACCGTCCGTACATGTCCACAAGAAGATTCCCCAGGAAAGTATCTCGTTCGTGCCCACTCTTGCAAATGTGCCTGTGGATTCTCTTTCCCAGTTCCAGAGCTTTGCTGCTCCCACATCTTCGTAGAAGAGGAGCGTACGTGTTTGAGTCTGCATAAGAGAGGGTCTCTAGTCGCTCCACCGAGATTGCTAAACACTCTACTGTATGATCTGTTGCCATGAAAAACCGGAAAAATTAAGTTACTGATGGTAGAAAATCTGTATTATGGATTGGCCCCCTGATGGTTTTCTCCAATCCATATGCCTCCTTGTCTTCTGGACTCCTTTTAAGCTTGATATTTAAAAATAATACAAAAATAGGACTGACAAGAAATGATAATAGATTATTTAGGAGAATAAGAAAATATCAGAAATGTAAAAAATATATTAAAAAGCAAGAATGTTCCAATTCTCTCTTGAGTAGCTTGGAAGTTGTGGTCTTATATCACACACAAAAGTGATGTCAACCTTATAGATGTAACTATACCTAAATCACCACATATAAAGGCCCACTTCTTGCTTCTTGTAGGAACCTTTAGACAAATTAACAGATCAACAATCACAAAGGAGATAGAATGGAGGTGCCCACAAAATTCCATCATGTGTCATGCCTCTGCACCCTTTGGGAACAAGCCATGAACCAGGCCATACGATTCTAAACATGTTTATAATTTACATCCTCTCCTGAAAAGCTGTCCTGGATTTAGATTTGCAGCCAAGCGCTTACATTTCCCCCAGTGACGCACCCGACTTTCGTTAAGTTCTCAAGAGATTTCTTCTAACCCCAGGGCCTTCTCAGCTAGATCGATTCCTGATGCTGTCTTCCTCTTTTTCCAAGTCGTGATCAGGAGTGGTATCATCTGATAGCTTTAAGTTCCAGTAGTCCTCCTCGTCTTCTGGATTGAATTCTTGTTGCGCGTCTTCTTTGAGCATTGCTTCGTGGCTTTCAGGTTCCATATGCTTCTTTAGAAAGTCCGGAATCTCGTCGAAGTCTGATGCTTCTGGTTTAAAAAGGAAAAGTCAGATCAAGGAATGATTGCTAGCTCACCTTTAGAATTCGACGACTGCGAGCATTTTTCGAGAAGAGTCTGTGCTGCTCGTCGCACCCAAAAATCCAAGTTCTCACCGCACTCCAGCAGACGCTTAGAAAGCAGCAGCAAATCGTTGGGCCGAAAGCGATTGGATCGCAGGTAAACAAAGGTCAACACATCAGCTTGCATCGCGCTAGGCAGTGTTTCAATCCACAGGCAGCTGCAACCATGACAGAAAATTCACCCACAAATCCAGAAAACACAAAACCCTACTTGCGAGCCTGGATGCCGTCCAGAAGCGCAACCTCCCGCGCCAGAAGATCGGGGATCAGCATCCAAAGCTGCGAAGAATGCCCCGAATCGACCCAATCCACCGCTAGGCGCACGCCGCCATCCCGCCGGAGCAATCCTAGCAGCTCCATCCATCGCTCCATCCCATCCCTAAATTCAAAACTAGGCGCGAAAAAACTAGGTCAAATAGAAAGTGCTCTTAAGTATATTTAACCAACGTTTGTGGTGATAAACAATGGTTTGTAGATCGCACTCCTATTACTTGTGCAATTTAGAGAGGAGGAAGAGGCAGCCCGATGAGAAAAGAATGGAGGCCGAGAGACACACGAGATCCAAGGCTGTGTGGATGACGATCTTCTTGCTCTTGTCAAACATGCCAACCAGAAGGATCATGACGATAACATGTCCCAGTTTCGTCTTGAGCTCGTCCAGGGAACGAATTTCCAGCCACTTCGGGCGCTCCTGAGTGAAAGATATGATTCACAAACTTTCGAAACGAGAGGTTTTAGCAAAGTCACCTGGAGCCTGAAAAGCCCAAACAAGTTGGAGCCGCAAACAGTAGTTCTGGGGACTCCAGCCGGGAGGTTCTCTTCTGGAATGTCGAGCGTGCTCACAAACAACTCGTACAAGCCCATCCCGAAGATGAGCATCACAGTCCCCATGAGATAAATGTCTGCAAAGATCAAAATTAAGTTGAGCACTGTTTGATCTCAATCTAGATTTTAGATCTCCATCGTACCTACAGCTTCCACCAGCAAAAGTATAACTTCGGTGTCAACTCCTTGCCAGATTGCATTGAAATACTCTATAAACGACCTCAACACGAACAAAGAACCCTGTCACAAAGCAAAACCAAGCAAAAGTTTTGAGCATAGGAACCAAAACTAAGAAAAAATTGCCGATGGAAGAGTAAGATATGATTTACCTTGACAAAACACAGCAATGAGCCTGCTAAAGAACCAATCACTCCGAACAGTGTGAGGAATCTGCAATCAAAAATTGCCTGAAAAAAATTCCAAAAGAGAGATAAACAAAACTACCAATGAAAACTAGAGTTCCTAAATATCTTTCTTACCCTTTCGATGCGTTCCTCCAGGCGCTTACTTCGATCGTAATGCTTCACAATCTGAGCCGCGGCGGCAGCAGCAGCTGGATCGATCGATGCGAGCCCATTCTCGTGATGACCGATCGCGTCTTTGGGCGCCGGCGTCGAAGATCTCACGGAATTCCTCTTGATCCGCGGCCGCTGGCCCCAGAGACCGCTGGCAGCCAATCTTTTGGCCGCCGATCTGTGAAATATCCGCGGCTGCGTGGCCAGCATGGGAAATCGGTGACGCCCCAAGGCGATCGCCATAGCTGGCTGCTCAATCCGGCCACTGAATCCCACCGAAACCAATGCTCATACCCAGAATTTGGGTGTGCAACACGGCTGTAGCGGCAGATCGACTGGGATTCTCCAGGGAAAGCTCCTCAGCACCGCAAGAAGCCAGGGAAGAGAGAGAGAGAGAGAGGAAAAACCCTTGGAGCCCACAAAGAGGTGACAAGGTTAAATGAATATGCTCCAGGGAATCCTGTGTGTTTTCACCTCGCCCGTTGGTGTTCTTTTCAGGTACCACGACAAATATAAAACACGTGGACATAATAGAGCCTGCCACCTCAGCCAATTCCAGTGACACGTATTTTGTTTGGAAATACTATTCAATTATATTAAAAATTTAAATTAGAGAATTTTAGCATAATTTAAAATTTAATGTTATTTTTTCACATCAACAGATAAAATTAAATTAACTAATTATAAATCATACCCATTAAATAAACTAATTTAATTTACAGCTGGAGAATGCACTCCAAATGTTCCCCTAGTGAATTTTCTTCCTTCACAGCCCCCTACTGCTTGGCAAATTAATTGATTGAGTGCCCCACTACTAATCTATGCTTTGAATTCAAAAGGCCACCAAGCAATCAATTTAGATGCTTTAAAGAATATTCTTAAATATTTTAATCCTAAAAATTTCATAACAGAAATAGAAAGGACTAAAATTAGCCTAATTTAATGAAGTTAAACTGATAAATTAGAGGTTATAAAATCTAGTGTAATAGCACTTTACTATTAAATTCATAATGGTGCAAAACCCATTAATCATCATAGAAATTAAAAATATGGTTGGGTAGCTTTGTAATTCATGGTACACATTAAATCTAAAGAAACACATGTAAATGTAAAAAAAATTAAAAGTTTTCTTTAGCCATAGTCATGCATGGTCATGCTCTTTTGCATGCCACAATAAGAAAATCCAATGCCATATCATTGGAGATTTCAGCTCAGTCAGTTGATATTTCAGCATAGGATATTTTTGCAGAAAAAAAGTTTTTACAGTTGATCAATTGATTTTAAGCTTTAATCACTATATATACTGTATTTCCATTGGGGTCGAATTCTATGAATTTTCTTTTTATATTATTATACAGAAACTGTCATTTAAAACTAGAACTATAGATATCTCATGTTTCAATCTATATATATTATTAATCTTATATCCATCAAATTTTTAAGCCACTATTGCAACAAAGGCAAGAGTATTAGTAATGAGTCCATCTATATTGACACCACTTACTTTGACTCTCTAGAATGTCATTGTGAGCCTACAAAAAAAAACAAAACAAAACAAAAAACAGGTCATTACCAAGTGATTTAAGCTTGAGCACACATACCTCTTTGGTATTGGTTTAAAGCAAGAACTATCTTGACCTTTCTTCACCAATTTCTCTACAAAGCATTTGAGCTGTTGCAAGACTACCTTTAGTTTTTGTTATTGTGCTCCACCAAATGCCTTCACCATTTTCCTTTCTTTAGTAATGCAAGCTTCCTATTTTAACTTGAATATATATGCTCTTCAACAGAAAATCTATCTTTTGCAAAAGGAAATCCTACCTTCCTTGATGAAAAACTGAAGTCATTACATTTGAAATAAACAAAAAGCTTGCCTAGCTTGTGCACCCACTTATCAGGATGCTCTATAAATACAATTGCTCAGCCTAATGAAGCTCCTCCCTTTAATTGATTTACACTTTGTGACATGAACTCAAGCTATTATATTTAACACAAATAATGAACTTCCTTGGCTCTCTTTAAACCATGATGCCCCACTATGGCTAAACACCCAAAGAAGTTGAGTGCAATCAACCAATCCAAGCTCCTCCCAAAAGATGGACTGAGATCTTCCTCTAGCTTTTTCCACCCTGATGTGGTCGATGATCAAGATGCTCCAGATTATAGAGCTCCTTGTGGGCAAGAGTTGCAATGCCAGCACTGTGTGTCAGCTTTGGCTTGGTTTCCAAGTCCATGATCCACTTATGGATTGCATGCCTGTCCTTGAGTGATTGAAGCAAATTTGTGGCATGGAGTGTAATGAAGACCATGGCTCTAACATCTCCACTAGTGGAAGAGAACATGAAGCCCTTGATGACAATCTCTTGGTATGTAGGAGATTGAAGTAGCTACATAATGCAAGCCCATAGAGTAGAATGTGGGTGGAGTATGGTGCAAATTACAATTGGCAAGAGGAGTTGGGTGGGCCTAGATATGTTTTGAGTTTTTCCTATACATTGTGTAACCCAAGATTGTGAGGAGTTTTTGTAGATTACTTGAGATTTGTATCTTGATTAGGATAAGGAGTAATGAGGAGAAAATATGGGCAATGTCTTGGTATCTAGTAATGTAAGCAACTCAATTTTCCATTCTACTTTAGTCACTTAACCATACTTTTTGACCACTTAAAGGAATCTTACTCATAACCTTCATATAAATTTTATTCTTGACTTCAGGATATACTAACCTTGTAAATGGCATTTATGCCACTTAGCCTTTCCAATTAGTCCCAGTGCTCCATGTGTCCAATCCTATGACAAACACCCCCAAGGTACTATTGGTGTATTAGCCTGTTACACTAAGTCCATTCACCCTTGTTTCATTGGTAGTCTAAGACCATCTATGCCATAATCCCATATCTCTAACCTTAGCATCCTTAAAATGTTAAGAGACATATAGAACACCCTTCTTCAATGTCTTTTCTTTAGTTCTTACTAAGTCCCCTTCCATCCATGGCCGTGCTCATTAACACCACCATTGGGTTAGGGCCTAAAGGCTTGACCACTAAGTTCCACTGATTTTTAGGACTTCCTTACCATATGACTATATCTTTAGTCACTATACAAGAGGATTATTCCTTTTCCTTTCTATAATCTAGGACTTTGGAATGACATTTCAAAACACCGTGGACCTATGTGAGCCTCATGGGTACTCTCTCCACCTTCTGGCTTTAAATGCCTTAGCAATGTGGCTAGAGCAAGGTTCCAATGAGCCACATCAAATATCCAAATAAATAGTGCCACTCACACTTGGATTGGGAATGAGTTTGGACTTCCTGGGAGGTCTCGGGAAGTCGTCTCTTAAATCGTTTTCTTTAGTTGCTTATACTAAATTATGCCTTAATTTGGTCAGCCATATCTGACCTACTATCCCTACTATACTGTAAGCAACCAAAGATAATGACTCAAGAAATGATCCATAGAGCTCAAATATAAAGGGAAAGGGCTTATAAATAAAAGTGCACTCCTTTTTCTAATTGGTTAAAGGTTTTGGAATACTTGGGGTTAAACATCCTTGGGTTTAAATAGTACTAGGTTGGGTGACATCCTAAGAAGTCCAAATTTAAGAGATTATAGTTGATATCAAAGAGAATCAGTTCGTTAGCTAATGGAATCACACCACATGCTGAGATTTCAAATTAGGTTAAGTGACCTCCCAGAAAGTTTAAATTTAGGAGCTTACACACTCCGGCTGGACTCGACCTGAGGGGTAGGGTGTCAAGAGAGCTATGGCTCTCAGCTTTCATTCACAAGGGTATGAACTTGCAAAAATGCATAGTTGATTATAAGCAACAAAAGAGAATGACTTGAGAGATGATTCATAGGGGTTTAAATATAGAGGGAAAGGAGCCCATGAATAAAAATGCATTCCCTTTTCCAATCAGTTAAGGGTGTTAGGTTAAATGTCCTTCGGTTTGAATAATATTAAATTGAGTGACCTCTTGAGAAGTTTAAATTTAGGAGCTTACATATATATTTGGAATGGTTGGTGCAAAAATTGTACATCCATTGATGTTCAAGAGGCCATATTGTTAAGTGCAAACTAGGATCACTTCATCTTAGTTAGAATAAGTTTAGGAGGCCCCAAGGAGTTGTGGAGAGGACTTAGGATGCCACTAAAGCAAGTTGGTTTTCCATGCAATGTAATTGTAGAATGATGTGAAGGCTTGAGGTGGAAGTATATGGCCTTATGAGAAAATTTGGAGCTTAACTGCATGTGGCAAAATGGAGAGCTCTTGTTTGTTATGAAAAAATGGCTTTAAAGTGTTGAATTCAGCTTGAGATCCATTGATCTTGTCACGAATGTAATTGTGGATATCAAAAGTTATCTATCGACTAGTTCTTATAGACACTCTCTCTTTACTACAATGATAGTAGAAGGTTAGTATTATTAACTCCCTTTGTAGTCTCCGCCCAAGTTAATTGAGAAACTAGCTAACATATATATACTTAGATTGGAAGGGTGAGATCCTAAGTTGTCATTAAATACTTCACACAGTGATGAGAAACTCATATATTAACTTATATTTGCTAGTATTATGAACCCCTATAATATTGAGCTTGGTTGCTTAATAATCGTTAAGTGATACCTTACCGTGTCCATCAAGATACTTCTGCTATCATTCCCCCAAGTTGCTAAATCACATAGGATTTGGTGAAGGGATTAGTTAAGACTTTCTAAGGGATTAGAAGGGAAATTTAGGAAAATTTATTAGAGTAGGCTATGCATTATCACTAAACAGGTGCTCAAAAACACTCCCACTCTTAAAGACTGTGCCAAACACAATCCAAAATGAGATTTAATCAAGCCAGCTTGCCATTAAAGAGATACTAGTGATATTAAGGCCAAGTTATAGAGAATTCTTATAGAAAGAAGCCTAATGAAGAAAAACAATACATAATAAAGAGTAACAAGGGTGAAGAACAAAATGACTATAAAACCAATATTCCAGATTCCTTCTGCATGTTGCCACCTTTAACCAAAAAGGAGCACTCATCCTCAACTCTTCCAGGCTAATGACTTCACTCTTGTTCTTAGGAACCTATTAGTATGCTTGCAGTAGTGACTAAGTGAATGGTAAGGCATGATTGATTGGGCATTTGTTTGTTTTCTTTTGTATATGCTTTGGAGTTATAACCTTGGTCCCCATGTATGCATGAATTGTGGCTTGTTATATTAAGACTTGCATCCATGCAAGTGACTTTGATAGTCTTTGGCTGAAGTATGAGAAGGCACTATGAAGAGCACACATTATATATATAAGTTTATTCCTAGTGTTTGTGATATTATAATAGAAAGCATTTGGAGAGAGTTCTTTTAATATCAAGCAATTTCCCCATAGGGATTGACAAGGGTCATTTTAAAAATCTGTAAATGCCACAAATGGCCACAAAGG